AATTAGAAAAAATAGGAAGAAGTCAGAATAAATTGAAAGAAAAATTGGAATGTGGTGAAAACAACTCGAAGAAAATTTTGGAACCGAATTAAAATTTTGAAAAAATTAAAAGAAATGTTGAAATGAGTAATATATTTTTGAAATTTAATATTTTTATTAAAATAATTTGTCCTTTCTTTATTTTAATCTTTTTTATTTTTTTTATATATTAAACCATTTTTATTTCATACCATGTACATATATTATAGTACCCCAGATTATATTTTTACTCAAACTTAATATTACTTTTTTCTTGAACTCTTTAAATCAATATCATTAGTATATATTTTTATTTCTTAATTTCATATATATTGTAAACTATTTATATCTTATTCCTTAATTTCAATGCTAATAATCCATGTACTAATATTTTTTTCATTAATCTTATTTAAACCAAAAATTGGCATAAATAATCTGACATTATCCCAATCAACAAATAAACGAAATTATGGATTATTACAAATTTACAAAGAGGAATGTGCTTTTTAATAAATTAATTTATTTAACATTTTAATATTTTTTGTTGACTCTATAATGATAACTAATACTCCATATATTTTTGTGACAAAAGAAATATTTTTTATATGAAAATTGTGTTATTACTTCAGTTCTTTATTGTATTTTAATTACAATGGTGATGACGATAATGACAATTGTAGGAATAGTAGTAATTATAATTATAATGAATGTAATAGGAATATTATTAAAAATAAAAATAAATAAATTTTTTAAGTTATTGGAATAAACTTGAAGTGGTTTAAAAAACAGAAAAGAATTGAAAAGGTATGAAATAAATTTTCATTCAAAAGAAAAGACCCTTAGATAAGTAAAAGGGAAAAAGAAATAGGGTCATTATATAATTTTTAAAAGTTAAAATGATGTGGAGTGTTTTATTTATTTATATGATTAAAAAGTCCACATGGCAAGAATTCACTAGAGGGGCATCCATGCCCCTTCATTAGTATTAGAAGTAAAACTAGATTAGGATATTACATTCCTAATCATATTAGGATTATTCTTTCCTTTCCTAATTGTATGTTGATTATTCTTGTATTCCCTATATATAGGGTCATATCTCTCAATATTCAATAAGACAAATTATTATCGAATTGTACCATGGTATCAGAGCTAAGGCTCTAAAAAAACTAGCCTCTTTTTTCTGATCGTGCCCTTCGCCGACCGCCACTCACCATGGCAGCACCGTCGGATCCTTTGGCTTCTTTACCCTCCGGAGTAAAAATTTTGCTTCGAAGTCTCCACAACTTAATCCCTGAAAAACTCACTGAAACAAATTATCTCGCATGGTCTCTCAATGTCAATACAGCTCTTTCAGCTAATCTCCTCCTTAGATGGATTGATGGTCATGAAGCAGCCCCGGCTACAACTATCTCCAAAAACGATAAAACTGTCCCTAATCCAGAGTATACCTCCTGGACCATCGTTGACACACAGATCCTACTCCTGTACCACCAACGGTCCAACCCCAGAACCGTCCCACCAGTCACGGACGACCGCCCGACACCCTTCCTCTGGACACGTTACAAACGGTCCAACCCCAGAACCGTACCCCAACCTACAGTCAACCATCACCTACTCCTCCCTCTGATTCTCTACAGACGGTTGACCGACCCCCGCCCCACAACACACACACCATGCAAACCCGAGCCAAATCTTGCATTTTCAAACATAAAGCCTATACCATATCATTACCACCCTTGATAATACCCCACCTACCACTGAGCCTAACACTTACCGCCAAGCCTCTAGTAATAGTTTTTGGTGTCAGGCTATGGATGATGATTTTTTTGCTTTGAATGAGCAACGTACATGGGACTTGGTGCCACCACCCAAGAACCGCATTCCGATTGGTTGCAAATGGGTGTATCGCATTAAACGGAATGCTGATGGATCTGTTTCAAGGTATAAAGCTCGTCTTGTCGCAAAAGGTTATCATCTGGAGTATGACATTGATTACAAGGAGACATTTAGTCCTGTGGTCAAGCAACAAACGGCTGGTCCTCTCTTTAGCACTCAACCGTGATTGGCCTCTTCATCAACTGGATGTTAGCAATGCCTTTCTTCATGGTACGGTGGACAAGGAAATTTATATGGAGCAGCCTCCGGAGTACATAAATCCCAATCATCCTCACCATGTTTGCAAGCTCCGCAAGTCACTATATGGTCTCAAACAGGCACCCCGTGCATGGTACACACGCCTTTCCTCTTTTTTGCAGGGCCTTGGATTTCAGTGCTACATTCATGATACCAGCTTGTTCACCAGACACTGCTCTCATGGAACTATTGTTGTCCTTGTCTATGTTGATGATATTGTTCTCACTGGCAGCTCTTCTACTCTCATCTCAGAAGTTACTCAGGCCATGCACCGTGACTTCAAGCTCAAAGAACTTGGACCTCTTCATTACTTCCTTGGCATTGAGGTTCAGCGCACGCAAGATTCCATGCTTCTCCATCGGTCCAAATATGCCTGTGATCTTCTACGTCGAGCAGGGATGTCTGACTGTCATCCGGCTATTACTCTTGTGGCTACGCGACCTATCACTAAGCCTTCGTTGCCTTTCAAAGGTATCTCTCATTTTCGGAGCATTGTTGGCGGTTTACACTACTTGGCTGTCACCCGTCCAGACATTCAGTATGTTGTTAATCGAGTGTCTCAGACTATGCACAACCCCACTGAGCAGGACTATCATGCCTTACAACGTGTTCTGCGCTATCTAAAAGGCACTTTGCATCGTGGTCTTCTTTTTCGCAAGGGGGGATTCGACCTATCTGTTTACTCTGACTCTGACTAGGCAAATGATAAAGATGATCGCAAGTCTACCACGGGCTACATCCTCCTACTGGGTTATAATCTTATCTCTTGGTGCACGAAAAAACAGACTCGTGTTTCTAGATCATCCACTGAAGCTGAATATCAAGCTATGGCTGTGGGGGTTGCAGAAGCTATGTGGCTTCGATATATCACTGATGCGCTGGGTATTCCTCCATCCAAGCCGAAATTATACTGTGACAATGAGTCAACTATCTGTGTCACCAAGAATCCAGTTCTTCATGATCGCATGAAGCATGTGGGAACAGACTGTCACTTTGTACGAGATGAAGTTATGACAGGCATTATGACTCCACACCATGTCTCCTCCTCAGAGCAGCTAGCAGACATTCTTACAAAACTGCTTTCGCTAGTTCCTTTTGAGCACTTATGTTCCAAGCTGCCCCTCGTCTCTGTTGATCAGCTTGCGGGGGGATATTAGAAGTAAAACTAGATTAGGATACTACATTCCTAATCCTACTAGGATTATTCTTTCCTTTCCTAATTGTATGTTGATTATTCTTGTATTCCCTATATATAGGGCCATATCTCTCAATATTTAATAAGACAAATTATTATCAAATTGTATTAATTAGCCAAGACATGGAAGAAATTCCCATAAAAAATAGTCTAATCAATGTATGGCGAGTAAGTGGAGTGCCATACAGTGGTAAGTCATTATATTTGTCATTTTCTTACATTTTTTTGACGTATTTCAATTATTAAAAATAACTTTACATATCAATTTTATAATTAAAATATGTATACTTGGTTAATAAAAAAATGATTCTTATTTTGATAAAAAACTAAATAAAAATAAAAAGAACAGAGCAGCAACAGAGGAACATGAACAACGCCGAAAGAAGAAAGAAGAAGAAGGAAGAAGAAGAAGAAGAAGAAGAAAGGAAAAGAGAAGTTGTGCCATCAAAACTATTCATTAGGTTCTATTCTTTGTAGCTTTCATTCAATGAATTTGAGGTGAGTACATGGACATCTAACACTAGGTTATGCCTATAAATTTTAATCTTACGTTCGTAGGATTATTACGCTTGATTTATGTGAAAATCTATTTTAGGAGTTTTGTTAGAATTTGTTGATTGTATGTATGAATGAGTTATATTTGGTTATGGTAAGGTTGGATATAGTTAGGAATTGGTTTATGAATGTATTTGTGCTGAAACGTTCAAAATTGGATGTGGTTTGGTGCTAGAAATTGAACCAGTGTTTAACATGTAATTTATGCGTCACACAGTAACACGGTACTGCCAAGTCAATACCGTGCTACCTCCACAAGCCATTTTTCATTGGCAAAACCTACACCTATCAAGTACTTAAGGACTGAGTTATTGATTTCGTGACTTTGTTTATTGTATGATGGTAAGCTTGGGTGTTCGCACCCAATGCTAGGCCGAGGTTTTAGTTCGTTGATCATGGTTGCCTATGGTTGAATTTAATAGTGCTTATTGGTGTTGTAAGCCTTGTGAATACTAAGTAATACAAAAGTAATATGCGAACCTAGAGGAACTCTAGGATTTGACCTAAATGAAATAGAGGCAAGTTATGCCATAGGTATAGTAATGTTAGAGCCATATGGTACCTTCTGGGTTCAATGGCTATTTGGGTACAAATGTGTACACGAAGATCTTTGAACTGTCGCTCTGAAGGGGACATGGATCTCACCCACCCAACGAGGAACTCCCAAGTTGGTTCAGATTGATCTTTGTTGTGAAGGGAAAGGTCATGACTCAAATAAGAAAGTCAAAATAAGTGTAAGCTTAAACCTAGAATATGGTTTGAGCCAAGTAAGTTATAGACTAAAGTAACACGAGCATAGTATCTTATATTGTCAATCTTTTTTATGAGTTCAATTGTTATGTTGATGTACCTGATGAACTTGTGTGCATGATATTGTGTCATGTTATGAACTATTGAGGTCATCTATATGTATATTTGAATGTCACACAATACTTCTCAACAATGCCTTACCTCCGACAGTGGCCAGAGCTTCTCGACGGTAAAAGATCATGTATGATCAATTGCTCGTCTATTCCTTCGTACGTTCGTTTGTTCATTTCAGATCCTTGCATAATTTTACCATACTTAACATATACGACTAAAGTCTAACTAAACATACCAGTCATTGACACTTTTGAGGTGCCAAGAGGCCAAGCTTGTAATTCTAATGGAAGGTGTCCAATTGGGCGGGTTGGAACCCCTACCACGGAGGTGCCGGGGTAGGTCACTGGCTCCCGTACGTACGCTTTAACCCTGGAGACCATCAAGTGTACGCCGACACCTGCATGACCGTAAATTTCCAACTCTCAGTCCTACAAGTGTTATAGATTTCTAATTCAATACAGCCACTGGCTAGTACCACTATGTGACCTATTTCTCAATTCAGTTCAACTTACACTTAACACAATTTCACTAGTTGGTAGACCTGGATCAATTTGGTAACCGTTGGTAAATTCAAAGATCAAGTATTGAAAAGGATCAAATCGAGATCAAATTAAAAACCTTAGGGTCAATTTATTTTTTCAGAAATTGATTTTAGTTCCATGATTAGGAGGCCCCAATTGCCACCTGAGTCTTCTTCACGCGACCAACCCGGAAAGTAATTCGGCGGCAACTTTCGACATCCACCCATCGCAGAACACGGAGCCGGCAGTGGTAACACGTCGAGAAAAGTTCCCCACCTCCGACAGCGGCCAGAGCTTCTCAACGGCAGAAAAAACTCCCTTCGATGGTGACTCTAGCGCAGTACCCAAGGCGTGACTGAACAAAAGAATGGTAGAAACAAAAGATAAAAGAGAGAGAGAGAGAGAGAGAGAGAAGAGACGAACAGCAGAGAGACAAAAAGATGATGAACGACCACAGTAAATCTAATTACAATTTCAACACAATCAATCAGACAATTCACCAATCATAATCACAAATCCAACGTCAATTAAACGAGAATAAATCAACAAATCCCAATACACAAATCAATTCTAACGAGAGATAAATCACTCACCTTGGAGAATTTGATGAATTAAACGAAGTGACAAATAAAACAATCGAACAAGGAGAACATAGGCGGTGTCACGGTCCTGCTTTGTCTGATCCGACCACATGACACTAGGGCAACTCTCTTTCTTTTTTTCTTCCTCTCAACCGAGAATACTCTATAAATATTACTCCCAGAGTCCCACTGATTTTGCAGTACCTTGCACTGATTTTCCTTCCCTTCTCCCCGTTTATTCAATGCGTTATTACTTTGTATTTTTTCTTCTTTCGCACGTGTATAACTTATTTATAAGGGAGTATTTGGACTACGTACATATATTTAGTATAAGGTGATGTTTTGCCAACTCCAATTAGGATCAAGATTTAATAGCTTACGTATTTAGTAATTTATTATTCTTACATTATTATTTATTTATTTTATTTAATTATTGAAGTATAACCTCTACTTTTTACTCATCACACTCCACACATAAGTCAAAATTTAATGAACTATATTCCGTTGGTCACCATTTTACGAAATCTACCCGAAAATCTAATTTTGAATTAAAATGGTCCAATTTACAAATAATTCATATTTTTGAGTAAGAAAATATAATATAAATATTATATTTATTTTTATTAGAAATCACAGCTAACTACTAATCCGGTTTTGGGTCGTTACAATTCTCTCCCTCTTAAAGGAATTTCGTCCCCGAAATTCTTCTAAGGTAAAGAGTGAAATTACTAAATGCATTTAACTTTTTTATCAACAGTATATGTACCTTTCCTTTGTAAAATTGGTCATTTTAATGTTTGATCAAATGTTTTTCTGATTTATATGTTTTTATTTAAAATCACTACGTTGTTTTTTCCTAAGAAGTTAAAACGATAATCAAACATATTTTTTCAAATCAAGAGTAAACAAATTAAGTCAAATACCTAAATATAATTTTTTACAAAAAAGTTGTCATTGACAATGTTAGAATAAAGGCCCAACGCTAGAGGGGGGGTGAATAGCGTTTAAAAAACATCGCAGGAAATTAAAAACGAGAGCGTTAAAGTAAAGAGCGTAAGGAAGGAGCACACCGAATTTTATCCTGGTTCACCACAACGTGTGGCTAATCCAGCCCCCCGAGAGACTCTCTCGAGCTACACTAACTCCGTTAAGCTTAAGGGTGCTTAACAAATCGATACAACTTGAGAACCCGAGTCACACGAGCCTCAACACCTTTGCTCGGAGATACCGCACTCCAAGACTTCTCACAAAGGAACAAGTAATTTCCTTTGAGTTTACAACAAGGGAACAACCTCCTTTAAAGTGTATGAAAACACTTAAACACTCAGGGATAAAAACTCTCACAAAGAGTAGATATGAGTGAACTAGTAAACGCTCAAGAACACGACAATTTCTTCAAGAATTGGCTCTCAAATAGCTAAGAAAAATAGGAATGCTTATGCAATGAAGGAGTATTGAAATGTTAAAGAATTGTGTGTAAAAAGAGAGGATTTGGGTGCCATTTTATAGCCCAAAATGGGATAAACCCGTTGCTAGAATTTCCAGCAGGATGAAGACAAATTTTTTAGGGACACAGACTGATAGTCGATTATCAAAGCTTGATAATCGATTATCCAAAGATTCCCTGTCCAAAAATTTAAAATTCTATCCATTGGAGGACAACGGTAACCTAGATAATCGATTGTCAACAAGTGATAATCGATTATTGGTCCTCTGAGAAGATTCTGGGTTTTGGCTGCAAAGACTGATAATCGATTATTGCATAAGTGATAATCGATTATGGCGTGCTTCAGAACTTTGGAAGTTCAAAGCTGCAGGGGCTGATAGTCGATTGTCACTAAGGTGATAATCGATTATCACCAAGCTAAAGTCTAGCCAGCTGAAACCCGTTTTGAAAAACCGAGGTCCAAAAACGAAGTGTTCCCAAAAGTAAAAACCAGGTTTGGAAAATATTGTACATGGTATAAAATAGTGAAAACAAGACTTGTTTGGTAAAAATCAAGTCTCCAAGGTCGTATAATACGTGCATACGGTTTAGACCGTTTTTCACGTGTTAGACCGATTGACCAAGATACAAAAGTGGTTTTTATAAAATAATTATTTGGGAACATTTTAAAAATGCTCAGAGGTAAAAACAGGGTTTAAAATATTGAAAACCACGGAGTTGGTTCGGGCGCCAAAAACCGAACGCCGAAAGCCGAACGCCGACTTAGGTGGTTTCGGTTCTGAGCAAGGACCAGGGATTTTAACAATAAAAGAAATCATCAAAAATGTTTGTTTTGATGCACAAAAAATATTTTATGATTTGTAAAAATTGTTTTGACTTTTTGAGAACCGAGACTTGAATTTATTGTCGGTTTTGATCACAAAAGACCGACTCGACTAAGTCTTCAATTCTTGATCTTGTCCTTGGGTCTTTTAGGTCTTGCTCCAAGCCATTCTTCATGCCTTGAGTTATTCAACGAAACTCTTTATATCCACGGCGGTTTGGCAATTATCAAAACCTGTCAGAAATGAACACGACTTTAGTTTATCGTACAAAATGTGTTCCAACAGACAAGATTTATTCGTAACCATTTTATGGGAAAGCACATTACCTCTTCCTCTTTTGACTTATTACTTTTTATTGCTCTCACTAGTTCATAACATCACACAATATACTGCTCTCAATAGTTTTTTATGAGTTCAATTGTTATGTTGATGTACGAGATGAACTTGTGTGCATGATATTGTGTGATGTTATGAACTAGTGAGGTGATCTATATGTATATTTGAATGTTAGATATATATCTCACTTAGCTCCAATTCTGAGTGTGTTGCATTTGTTCTTTTGCTGCACGTAGGTTCACTACGTCAAAAATAGATACTGACAACTGTTTCTTTTAGTAGTCTCACGGTGCTGATTTCAGTAGTCTTCCGAGCAGTTGTCTGATATATTTACAGACTATTGTTTAAAAACAATTGTGTAAAATGGTAGACGACACCTGTTTTGTAATGTTTTAGAGTACGAATTTTTAGTGTTGTCCTTGTATGAGTAAGACATCTGTTTTTTAGAGTTAAAGAAAACTTTGAATTTTTGTTGTCTATCTATAATGAATACTACTGCCGTTTTTAACTTCAGACTCCTAATTCTTGGTGTTGTCGTTCAACAATATAGACATCTACTTTAAAAAGTAATTGAAAGATATATCAGACTACTGCTCGGAAGACTACTAAACAAAAATAGCATCAGACAACTGTTATCTTTTGTTGTATTTCTAGAATATGGACTACTAACATTATTCTTATTCAAACAACTGTTTGTTTTAGTTGTATATTGATTATCAACACAACGGTGTTTTGTAGTTTTCCTTGAAGTATTCAAACTATCTTTTATGACAGTAGTTGAATTGTTTATCAGACAGCTACTCTAAAGATTACTAAAGTAATTTGCTTCAGACAACTATTATTTCACGTTGTATTTTAAAATATGAACTACTATTTTTGTAGTATTTCAAAAAACTGTTTGTTTTGATTGTCTAAATGTTATTAACACTACGGGTTTGTGTAGTTGTACATATACTTTTCAAACTATTAGTTTAAATGGTAGTTGAATTTTTTATTAGACATCTGTTATCTTGTGTTTATTACCAAATAAATATAAATTCAAAAATACAACATATTGAACAATATATAAATTCATACATTTAAAATATTATAAACATCTAATAATTTAATATTTACATCATCTTCCTTACAATTTACATATTCTACATGTCTGCCTCTTCAATCCATCTTATTCCTATGGTACAAGTTGTTGCTCCTACAGAGAAACCCAATCCTTGAGAATCTTCGTGGATTAAATAACTCCTAAAATGATCATTGTGAATCAAGAACCAATTGTTGGAGACAACCACCTAGAACATATAATCTCTAGCCATTCCATGGAGTTGGTTGAACCTGTTATTGAAGGGACAAGTTCAATGAAGGAGCAAGGAGGTGCAATTCCCCATAAGATAGCTTGATTGTTGGTTTTCTGCTTTCAAACAACTTGCTAAATTGTACCTGTAGTTCACCAATTGTGCTAAGCAAATCATCTACTACATGTAGCAGTAGTGTTTCAGATGAAAAAAGAAATATAGCTAGAGAGCGAGTTAAAATGGAGTTCAAATACTTTCCCACTTTCCCTATCTCATATGGGTATGAGTCATCATGGATGCTCGCATGGTTTATTGATGTCTATTGATTAATTAATATGATAAAAAAGGAAACAGTAATAAATATGATTTTGCCCAATTAGAATAAGTGGCACTACAATGGAATAGGGACAGTGGAATAGAGGATCCCATTTGTTATTAAAAAATTACATTAAGAATTTAAGTATGACATCACCAGAATTCCAGTTTATGTAAAGTGTGGAAGTGCAAATATAGTATACATCAATGTTGTTCAGTCCTTGGGCCAGGCAGAGAGTATATTGCAGTGGAAGAACTGAACAAGAACAACACACCTGCAAAATGGTGATCTGGTTTAGTAATACTCCGTGGAAAAATTGAATACGAATCTGTTTTTCACATCGGCTTTGTCTAGGCATTCCATGGCGGTGTTGATATAGTCCATCGCCACAATCTCAACATCGGGCGTGATGTTATCTTGGCTGAGAAGTTCATCGAGTCCCTTTTATTCCACCGATGCCACTTCCTACAACCAGTTTTCTGCCTGCGATCCACAATCACAACATGAAATTAATGTCATTTAGTTCATTTTAGATCAATGCCAAGGTGGAGCAGAGATATGTACAACGCATGAATGGAAGTGTGGCTAGTATTACATACCCATGGTTAAGGGAAACACCGAAAAGTCAAGGAGTTTCTCCGGGAGACCAATCAATACAAGCTTACCTTAGGTCTTCAATAAGCTTAGTAGTGGTGTAAGAGGATGAATTGTAGAAATTGTCTATTATCCCATCAATTGTGCTCGGTGTATCCTTTTTTGCATATATACCAAAACCAATTATAAACCATATCATCAATTGAATTGTTAGAAAAAGAAGTGAAACAGAGAAAAAAATGAATATTTAAAATGGACATCGTTGCAGATCCTGCACCAGCTTTTGCCTGGGGTATAGGATGAAGAAAAAGGAAAACTTAAGTTTAGTGAAACCATCAAACCTATCGACTATTTAGAAATGACAATGAGTTGACATAGTTTCTTAAGTTACTTCCATTGCATGATTACCAACTTAATAGTAAAACTAGAATTCGGATACACACTTATTGGAGCTCACAATACC